GTTTGCGGTACATAATATCGTATCTTGGAGAGGATGCCCACCGTTTTGGATACATTTTTTGTTATGTGTTGGATATGGGTGCTGAAATTTAGGTTGTTGTCGAGGTATAGGCCAAGGAATTTGCCCTCATTAGGTCTGGCAGTTAGAGTGTTGTCGGGTAGCATAGGTGAGGTATGGATATATAAGTGAATGGTATAGTGTGAGAAGGGCAGTTTGCGGTACATAATATCGTATCTTGGAGAGGATGCCCACCGTTTTGGATACATTTTTTGTTATGTGTTGGATATGGGTGCTGAAATTTAGGTTGTTGTCGAGGTATAGGCCAAGGAATTTGCCCTCATTAGGTCTGGCAGTTAGAGTGTTGTCGATCTTACTGTTAAGTTGCACAACACCTGCTCTGTTACCAAACATAATATAGTAGGTTTTGCCAGTGTTAAGTGTAAGTTTATTGGCTGCCATCCAAGTCGATATTTTGAGCAGTTCCTCGTTAACAATGGTGTTGAGGGTGGCAAGATTAGGGTGGGAGATGACATAAGTCGTGTCGTCAGCAAAGAGAATGGGTTTCAGGTGTTGGGATAAGTTTGGAAGATTATTGATGTAAATGAGGAAGAGCAGGGGTCCAAGGACACTTCCCTGTAGAACTCCAGTATTAAGTGGCCATATTGATGAGGCTGTGTCTTTAATGGTGACATACTGATACCTATTAGAAAGGTAGGATTTAAAATATGCAAGCGCATGGCCTCTTATACCATAGTGGTCAAGTTTGTGGAGTAGGATGCCGTGGTCTACTGTGTCAAACGCTTTTCTTAGGTCAATAAAAATTCCTAGCAGATATTCCTTATTTTCCAATGCTGTGTAAAGCAGATCTAGCATTTTTATAATTGCATCATTAGTGCTTTTATTTTTCCTGAATCCAAATTGGCAGGGGTTGAGTATGTTTTGTGGTGTTATAAATGAATATAGTCTCCTGTGCACGAGTTTCTCGAAGATTTTGGATAGCAATGGTAAGTTTGATATTGGCCTATAGTTGTTTACGTCTGTAGGGTCACCACTTTTATGTATTGGTATAACCCTTGCTGTCTTGAGTAGTGTCGGGAAAGTGCTAGTTTCTAGTGACTTGTTAAAAAGTAATGTAATAGCATGCGAAAGGACATGGGCCGCTCGCTTGTACAATAATGGTGGGACGTGAGACAGACTCCCCGAGTTATTTTTAAGTGACTTTATGATTACAGTGACTTCCGTGGGCTCAGTTGGTACAAGATAGAAGGAATTTGGGAAATTCCCATCTAGGTAGTCCCCGGCATGGGCATTGGTACATGGGATTTTACTGGCGAGATTAGATCCTATGTTTGAGAAGAAGTCGTTTATCTTGTTAGCTGTATCAGTGGGATGCAGTGGTGTTTCATGAGGTTTAGTTAGAATAATATTCTTGGTTTTTTTCAGTTTGTGGGTCCCCAGAATCTGGGAAAGTGTTTTCCAGGTCTTTTTTATATCTCCTCTTGTGTCAGTGAATCTGCTGGAGAAGTACAGTTGTTTGGTTTTCTTTATTAATTTGGTGAGAACTGTTGAATGTATAAGAATATCATTGTGTATTAAGCCCTGTCTATATTGCTTTTCATATTGGTGTTTCTTATTAATGAATTTCAGAATGCTGATGGTTAGCCATGGGCAACCAAGCCGTTTATTCGTGATCTGTTTAGTTTTTATAGAACAATGTTTGTTGTATAGTCTAAGTATTTTGTTAAGAAAAATGTCTGTCCAATCGTCAATACCATTGGCATTGGAGAATTCTGTAGGCCAGTCAAGTCTCTAGGTCTGCTGTGAAATTCCTTATTGAGGCCTCGTCATGGAGTCTAAATGAAACTTTGTTGTATTCGAGTGGTGGCTTACTAATGTTTGTTAAGAGGAAGGTTGGGTAGTGGTCAGTAGTGTTGTCTGTGATTATCCCTGATTTAAGGGGGGCTAGTATATTGGTCCATATGTGGTCTATTATGGTTGCACTTGTCTCAGTCAGCCTGGTTGGTTTAGTTATTGTTGGTATGAGAAGTGCGTTGTTCATATTGTTGATGAAATCAGTTACAGTCTGATCATCTGGTAGGCCAAGGTTGATATTGAAGTCTCCAGCTAAGAGAAGGTGGTGCTTGTTCATTTGTCTGTTTGTTATTAGTGACTTTAGATTCTCACTGAAGTTTGGGATGTTTGTGTGGGGTATCCGGTATATGGCACCGATTGTTATAGGCGTCTTGAGTTTTTTTTACAGTAAAATTAGCAAAAATGTATTCCCCATATTCATCACTAAAGCAATTAGTGCTAATACAAGATAGTTGGTTAAAGTAATAGATTGCAGTACCACCCCAACTTGACATGGTCTGCAGTTGTGGATTGCTGTGTATCCTGGTAGAGGGTAGATATCAATTGTGTCCTGCTTAAGCCAGGTCTCAGTAAGAATAATGCAGGAGAAGGGTGTCTTTAGTGACTCAAGGAGTGCCAGGAGGTCATCATAGTGTTTGCTTAAGGACCTGATGTTGTAGTTAAGAACTGATAGACTCTGAGCAGTGTTCAGGATAGTGCTGGCTTGTGATGCTGTGTAATAAAGGCAGTTACTTTCCAATAAGTTTTGATTGTGTGTTAGATTATGGAGGTTTAGATCAGGGTCAACGTGATCATTCATCTTTTAGGTTTAAATAGTGGTTGTTTATATCCTGTATTATGTGACGAGTTCTAATACTGATTTCTGTAGTGGTGGGAGGTTTGGATAAGTATACCGCTGAAGCACTTTGGTCATATAGAGTATATTACTAATTAATAATCAAGGAACGCTACAGGTTATGTGCTGGGGAGAATGAGCATAGGTAATTAGGTATAAACAATAATCCTAAAAAAACAAATTTACAATCACAGATCCTTCCTTGAGGGCATAAGGTATATATATAAAATGAATTATTGATTGTCTATGTGTTGTGCTAGAATGAGCAAAGTACAATCTAGGTATACTATATTTTAGTGTGCAAGTATTCATCTTGTAATTGCACTAAGTCAAATAAGATTATTGGTTATGTTAGTTAAGTTTTATGGTTGTCTAAGTATTGAGCTAGAATGAGCTCAAGTACAACTAGGTATATATTATTTCTAGTATGATAAAATGACTAAGTACAATATAAAATATATACATTGTATTGCAATTGCACTAGGGTCTGATATAGGTTGTTAACAAGATCAAGAGTATAACTAGATTCAAATTGACAAAATAAAATTCACAAATTAAAGTACCAAAAGAATAATAAGTAAAAAAATAACAATGGCAATGACTTGGTTATAATATGATAGTAAGATGGTAGACAGGTACACAGGTACAAAGGATAATATAAAGGTTGGAGCTGAATATACAAACTTGAAAATTTGGCAACAAAATGTTATGAAAAGTATAAAATAATGATTAATGTACAAAAGTAAAATTGACTGGTAGTAAATATGGTGTTTAATAAAATTTTAGAAGTAATAATGATTACAAAAAAAAGATTAATTAGCAAAAAAAAAAAGTGAAAAAGTAATGTTTATTTCAAGTATTAAATTTTAAGAACAGTTATTTGGATTCAATATTGCACTGGTAGTTATACTAAAGGTTATTTGGCAGTACAAGGTGTTTAAGAGTACTCTAAGATAGTAAATGTGGTATAAAACAGGTTATGGTAATTAGACAAGTAATTACCTGGAGTTTTACCTGGAGAGAGTTCCGGGGGTCAACGCCCCCGCGGCCCGGTCTGTAACCAGGCCTCCTGGTGGATCAGAGCCTGATCAACCAGGCTGTTGCTGCTGGCTGCACGCAAACCAACGTACGAGCCACAGCCCGGCTGATCAGGAACTGACTTTAGGTGCTTGTCCAGTGCCAGCTTGAAGACTGCCAGGGGTCTGTTGGTAATCCCCCTTATGTGTGCTGGGAGGCAGTTGAACAGTCTCGGGCCCCTGACACTTATTGTATGGTCTCTTAACGTGCTAGTGACACCCCTGCTTTTCATTGGGAGGATGGAGCATCGTCTGCCAAGTCTTTTGCTTTCGTAGTGAGTAATTTTCGTGTGCAAGTTCGGTACTAGTCCCTCTAGGATTTTCCAGGTGTATATAATCATGTATCTCTCCCTCCTGCGTTCCAGGGAATACAGGTTTAGGAACCTCAAGCGCTCCCAGTAATTGAGGTGTTTTACCTCCGTTATGCGCGCCGTGAAAGTTCTCTGTACATTTTCTAGGTCGGCAATTTCACCTGCCTTGAAAGGTGCTGTTAGTGTGCAGCAATATTCCAGCCTAGGTAGAACAAGTGACCTGAAGAGTGTCATCATGGGCTTGGCCTCCCTAGTTTTGAAGGTTCTCATTATCAAAAATGTTAAGAGTAAATTGTACTGATAGGAATTGGAACTGCTATCCTTTTCCTCGGATCAAAATCCTCCCGTCAACCAGGCCGTATATGACCCCCTCTGCGGATTTAGCTCTTCCCCTCTTATAATTAACGATAATAAATTATCATTATTATTATTTATTGCCATGAAGCTCTATAAAGAAACAGGTGTGATAAATTATGATATTCATTGTGTAGGGGTAAACCCATGATGATCATACAGCAGGTGTGATGTAGTGGGCCACACCTGTAGCTTACTTCATGAATTTCAACGCCCCAGCAGTAACTATCTACCACTGACACTATTTTAAGTGAGCAAGACTTGTCACTCTGGCCCTGGCACAACAATGCTGGCAGGCGAAGGTGACACGTACAGCATCCCACTAACAGAACTGCTTCTTGTCGTACTATAATGTCAAGAACACCGTCACCGGCCGTCAAAGAAAACAAGAAGCGGGTGTGTCCTTGACGGAACCAATAAGAGGCTTAGTTTCCATCCTCTGGGAATCCCGACCAATAACACCACCTCTTCTCTGGTATCTTGATCAATGGTATCCTCTCCATCCCCCCCTTCCCTGGTGTCTTGACCAATCAGTGACAAGCTCCATACTGCATTAACAGATGTGTATTGTTTATGCATCTACGTCATAGAGTTCAGGTGGGAAAGGTCAGGATTGTGTTTATCAAGGAATTCCTCTGCCAGTGGTGTGTAAATGGTGGGTAATTATGTTCTACAGTCACTGAGGTGACAGTTGTTGTGCCTGGAGTGAAGACTGAGAGCAACTAGGTACTTCTGAACTCCCGAGACTTGCCGTGATTTACACCTGGCTTTCACCTGTTTTCTTGATTCGTTTTATTTTTTGACATTTGTACTCTATGTTATTTGGGATGTTTAAGAAAGTAGGTGGGTTGCATTATGTTCCTCGGGTACCTTGTAGTTTTTCATCATGAAGATAGACAGATCACCAACGTTATATTAAGGAAAATGGCTGGCAGGTATGGCACTTCAAGTCTGATACCTCGATGCTTGGTAAAGAACTCTTGATACATAAAACTCCTTTTTGATCATATCTGATTACCAACAATACCCCAACTGATGTATGGCTCTTACCAACAATACCCCAACTGATGTATGGCTCTTACCAACAATACCCCAACTGATGTATGGCTCTTACCAACAATACCCCAACTGATGTATGGCTCTTACCAACAATACCCCAACTGATGTATGGCTCTTGTAGGTTTAGTACTTTTCCATGGATATAATAATGGAAGGTGTAACCTCGGAACCCAGTGGGAATAAGTCACTTTGTTTGACTCTTATCAGGTTATCTTGAGATAAATTTTTAATTTGCAATGTAAAACCATTGTAAACGTTTACAATTATGTATGAGGTCTAAATTAAATCTTAATCGAGTTGTCTGTATGCAGCTGAATGGATTTATAGTACATGTCTTTATTGCCTGAAGATTCACCACTCTCCTCAAGGAATATATAATTATATATATATATATATATATATATATATATATATATATATATATATATATATATACCTTTTTTTTTTTAACATTTAAACTTATCCATGTTTAAACTCAAGTACAGTAATATAAAATGGGTTATGAAAAGCCACAAACATTATAAATCTTTATTATAATGAAGCGTGGAAAAGCTCCCCTTCAACAAAACAATTAATAAATGCTTACTTTGGTAGTTGTCTTTTTATTCATTAGTCAAATCATTGAATCTTCTACCTTGTATAAAACACCTCAATTTACCCAAAGTACCTAGGAAAAAGATTTCTTCAACGTTTCTGGAGAGTTAGTAATCCAGGATAACCCAATAAAGTCAGGATATCATCGAGGACTGTCTTACTAGGTGTTAGGTGGCTCAACCCAGTCACCTAGCACCTAGGTACCTTTTTACTGCTAGGTGAACAAGAGTAGCGAATATAAGGAAACATACCCATTTCTACTTATGCCGGGGATCAAATTCTGTTCTTTAGTGTGCGATCTGTGGTGACTGCCAACTGAGCCATGAGATTTATAAACCATAACTGTTTTCCATGAAGAGGTGAGGTGGAGCAAATCTTTGTGACCCTAGTTATGTAGCTATATCTTCCTTTGGTAGTGAATTGGCCTGCTAATGCTTTATTGATATTTTTTTTAGAATAAGATTGGTCAAGTAAAATTCTTTAATTTAAAACTGCTGCTGCAAAAAATATACAGTGGAACCTCATTTTTCGGCCGTAATCCATTTCAGAAGGTCAGCCAAAATTCGAAACAATGTTTCCCATAAGAATTAATGTAAATACAATTAATCCATTCCAGACACCCACAAATATTCACAAAAAATAAATTTGTTCAAGATTAATTATAGTTTTACATACACAAAACAATGCAGATTAAATAAAGATAAATTAAGAATATTTAAATCACTATTACATACCTTTATTGAAGACAGGGAGGAGTGAGGGAGGGTGGATTATTGTTTGGAAGGGGACCTCCCCTCCATAAGGACTTTAGGTAACAAGTCCCTCTCTATGTCTTTTAATGCCACTAGGACCAGCTTGAGAGTCACTGGATCCCTGTTGCACAAAATAACTGTCCAGAGTGCTCTGTTTCTGGCGTCTCTTTAAGATTTCCCTAAAATGGGACAAGGTTTTGTCACTGAACATGTTGCAGATATGGCTTGTTTCAGCTTGGTCAGGGTGATATTTCTCCACAAAATTTTGCACCTCATTTTACTTTGCACAAATGTCCTTAATCACTGAAGAAGGCACATCCTTCCCTCTCTCTTCTTCCTCCTCCTCCTCTGAAGCAAGTTCCTCAGCTGTGGTCTCTTGTTGTTTCAGTTGAAGGTGTTGCAGCTCTTCAGTGGTTAGCTCTTCCCTGTGGTCCTCCACCAACTCTTCCACATCCTCACCACTCGCATCCAACCCCATGGACTTCCCCAGTGCCACAATAGATTCCACAACAGGCAGAGGATTGACAGGGTCAGGGTCAGCCTCAGATCCCTCAAAATCCTTTTCGAGGACACAGTCTGGCCACAATTGCCTCCAAGAAGAATTCAAAGTCCTGGAAGTCCTTGAAGTGATCCCTCCAGAACTCTCTTAGGGTCAATTCAGTGTAGAGTTTTTTGAAGTTAATGACCTGCTGGTCCATGGGCTGGATGAGAGTAGTAGTGTTAGGAGGCAAGAACTTCACTGTTATAAAATGGAAATCCCTAGAGAATTGGTCTACCAAGTTTGGAGGAGAAGCAGGAGCATTGTCCATTACCAGGAGGCACTTGAGTGGTAGTTTTTTTTCCCAGGAGGTATTTTTTCACACTTGGGCCAAACACTTCATGGATCCAGTCAATGAAAAGTTGCCTCATGACCCATGCCTTATGATTAGCTTTCCACATCACACACAGTTTGCTCTTGAACACTTTGGGATTTTCAGTGAGATACACCAGTAAAGGCTAACTAGCGTTAGCACAGAACAAAGAGTTAGCCTGTCTTTCATAGGCTTGTGTCCTGGCAGTGCCTTTTCCTCCTGCGTGATGTAGGTCCTCTTTGGTATTTTCTTCCAAAAGAGGCCTGTTTCATCACAATTGAACATTTGGGGTTGGAATTCATCAGTCTGTATGTACCCCTTGAATTCCTGCACAGATTTTCCAGCCACACGTTTGTCAGAACTTGCAGCCTCCCCATGCCTTACAACACTGTATGCCACTGCACTTCTTAAATCTCTCGAACCAGCCTCTGCTGGCCTTAAATTCACTAACATCATCACTAGTACCAGGCATTTTCTTTACGAGATCTGCATGCAACTGCCTTGCCTTTTCATAAATGATCATCTCTATCTCCTGCTAATTGTTTTTCCCTGATCCTCAACAACAACAACAACTTCTCCACATCTCCATTTGTTTGTGATATCTTTTTTTGTTAACAGGTTTACCCCCTTTTGCCACATCAGCTTCCTTGATTTGTTCTTTCTTTGCCAGGCTAGAAATAATTGTTGATTTGTTTTTGCCATACATCCAGGCAAGTTCCAGCACCTGTACACCACTCTCCACTCTCATTTTTCTATTACTTCTTTCTTAAATTCCATTGTGTTTCTCACTTTTTTTTTTACAAAAGGAACTTTCTTGGGGCCCATGGTGACTTATTTCACAGTCGCACTTAATAAAAGCCACGAAAAACAAAGGATTTTAAGGAAATGTTTGGATGAATGCGCAGAGTATGTGCTCACTTGCCAACAGACAAAGGGAGACTGACTCGCCAAAGCCTGGTGTCCTGGCAGGAGAGTTGTGCTAACACGTCTAATACGGCTGATATACAAGGCAACAGCTGAAATACGGAGCAAAATTTCCACCAAAAAAAACGGCCTAAAAACGAAGTTCCACTGTATATATTTTGCCTGTGTGCATTAGCTTCTACTTTAGGTGAACACAGACATAAGCTTTAGGTCTGTGTTCACCTAAAGTAGAAGCTAAGTCTAAATCCTCCTGAAGTTGTGAGACATCAACGTCTGAATCGATTATCCTACCTATCTTCGTGTCATCAGCAAATTTGCTTATGTCTACTTTAGGTGAACACAGACACCAGGTGTCTCCTGACACCTGGTGTCTGTGTTCACCTATCAGTAAATAAGTACAGTACCTGGATGTTGGCCAACTGTTGAATAGCATCCTGGAGGTGGTATACCATAGATCAGGGGTTTCCAACCTTTTCTATGCCTCCATCCCTAGGAAAATTTGATTAATGTTGCACCCCCTACAAAAGTAATACAGGTTAACCATCATTAATCCGGCATCACTGGGACCTGTAGGGTGCCGAATTAGTGATTTTGCTGGATCACAGTGGTTAGGTTAGAACATATCTTGCAAGCTGTGCTGTTTCATATATATGTTGGCCTTTCTTTGAGTAGTTTATCCTGCAGCATTGTTTTTGTTTTACACATCTGTTTCTTTGTTTCACTGTTAGCAAAGAAATTGAGTAATTTTTCTTTCTGTTCCTTTGTCATAAACTGTATAATTCACACAAGCTTCTCATAGACACACTGCTGTCAAGTTTTTTCAAAAGTTCAACCTTATCTTTTATGGACAATGTACGGTGTTTGCGCTTTACACAACAAGAAGCATTCCTTTATTCACTGGAACCATGGCTGGGGCTAAAAGTGAGTAGATTATAGCAATAAATGGAGAAAAACAAATTTGAATTGCTTGCCTGTGTTCACAAGTGACACTAACAGTGTTTATGCAGCAAATAGCGCTACTAAATAGTAGCACTACTTGCAGGAAATTTGAAATTATACTATCTGAAATTAGTGCTCAATTAGTGATTGCTGGATCAGTGATGACTGACCTGCATCACATTTGAAGATGAGGAAGTCAAATTTTTTATTTTTTATTCACAAATTGAACCAGTACAGTAAGTACTGCGGGTGAACAACTTGAACTTAAAAAATTAGGTTTTAATTTAGTGCAAAAAAATACAAATATAAATTGAGCAAATAGAAAAGTTTTTGGTAAAATAAATGGAATTGTACTTTTCATTAGCACTCTTTGTCACACCCCCTGAAAGGATATCTTGTACCCCCTGGGGGTGCATGCATCCCAGGTTGGGAACCCCTGTCCTAGAGGTACGGATATGTATGCACAGGGCTTCTAATTAGCAAAATATGATCAGTCATGAGGGTCTCTTCACAAAATTCAACTTCAATAACAAACA